ATAGCTGGCCAATCACAGCACACCTCGCTTTTTCAGACCGATGAGCTTTGTAAAAATAGATGCGTTTCAGAAAGGCGGGGCATAGAGGAGAAACAATAATGTACAGTATGTTGAAAATAAGTTTTTTTTTTTTTTACCTTAAACCGTATAAACACATTTCATTACACCAAATACACAAAATAATGTTCTTTTTAGCATCATATGACCCCTTTAATATAAAAATAGAGAAAATGAGTGTGCACATTTAAATATCCCATATCGACCATGCTGAAAAAAAACAAAAAAAAAACGCATATACTCCCTATGGTACTGGTATTTAATTAAATTAAATTAAAAAATAAAATAAATAAAACATTTACAGGCTTTATATATATATATTTCCACTCTCTTTTTGTTTGTCTGATGGTCATTCTTTTTCATCTGAAATATTTATTTTGGCACATGCATGGTCAACTTTAGTACAGTCTTCCCCAAATCATCCTTAACAACCGATTGTTTGTTTCACAGTAGGAATTTACATTTAAACTCACGCTGTTGGCTCAGGCAACTCTATCTTCTTTCCATCTGGTGAGCTGCACTCCCTTATGTATGGCATAGGGTCTCAAATATAGCTCTAGACTCTGATTGATGAACGCTGAACATCCCGGCTGAACTGTTACTCACAGCTGGCACTCTGAGGGCCGTGCTGGGGACCAACATCCTGCTGGAGGCCATAGCATACAGGCCAGGATGTGATTGCTGTCAGCACATTTTGGTTACATTCTAGCTATCAGATTCTTCAGTGACTGTATTTGGCTGTACACTAACTAGTCAGGGGGCCATTCAGTGCTGTAGTTTTTAGCTGCAAATGAGAATTGCTGTCAGATTTTTTTTTTTCTAATCCATGGTGCCCTGCTGGTGCAATCAAAACGCAAAACAATGAGGACTTTGTTATTATTAGGCCATATGGAGTTCAGGTAGATGATTAAAAAAATTTCCTCCACAATAATATGTCATTTTATATTCAGCTCGCCGTGGAAACATAGGTGCGTGCTGATTTACGAGGGCCTCGGCCCCTGTAGAGTATCGTCTTCTATTATTAAGGATGTGTGGACCAGGATGACCTTGCGTTCTCAAGGATAACCGTCTCCAGAAGTGTCTTGTCTGCTTTCTCTCTTGTAACAGTCTGTGGTGCCATGAGCAGAACCTCATTAATGCACTCTGGAGATTAACCTCAGCAGTAAAGTTGAAAGCCAAGTATAGCTCAAACCCTTTGACTTATAGTCTGTTAGGATTTAATAGTCTTCTCTCATGAATGTCCAATGCTGCAGTGACAAGAGGAATGTTTTGATTGAGCATTTAGGTGTCAGCTCTTCTCCAACACTTTCCCAGGCAGTAAGTGTAATGACTGGAGGTAAATGTTACTGTTTAGTGAGCAATTATTTTTGTTAAAGTGTCTGAAAACCAATATGCAGAATCAATCATTTTTGACAGAGTAATAATAATTTGTCATTCATGCAGCAATAAAATATAACATTTTGTAATATAACACAGCATTATGAAAATAGTAATAATAATAATTATTATTATTATTATTATTTTTATTAATTGTAAAAATTTAATTATTTATTTGTTATATTTCTACTTTTTGTCAGTAATAGTAATTCATCATCCATAGAAATATAACATTTTATTAACAATATAGCATTATGAAAATAATAATAATTAATTATATATATTTAATTTTTCAGAGTAATAGTCATTTGTCATTCATACAACAGTAAAGTATACCATTTTAAATATAACATTGCTTTATGAAAATAATAATGATAATAATAATTATTAATATAATAATGATAATAATAATAATAATTATTATTATAACAAAATTTTGTATTATTATTAATTATAAATTATTTAATAAAGGTATAAATATTATTTAATAAAGGTTATAAATGTAACACTTTATTTGAAGGTGTTCTTGTTACACGTTACATGTACTTACTATTATAATAACAATAAATTCTGCATAATTACATGCAAGTAACCCTAAACTAAACCCCAATCCTAACCCTAACTATATAGTAAGTGCATGTAGTTAATTCATATTACTCAGTACTTAAATGCAAATTCAGAACGATTCAGTTCACAATTAAATTCGATTCGATTAACGATTTGATTCTGCGTTCTTTAAGTGCATTCACAGGATTATTTAAATGCTTCCCCTAAATTCTTTAAATGCTTGGGCTACGTCCACACGAAGCCAGAGCTTTCCCTATCCGATCTTTTTTTCCCCCCTCGTCTCAAGAAATATCTGCGTCCACACGAAACCACAAAACGATGTAGTATACATGCCAGACCTGTATGTGGCGCTGTAATTCTGCCATAGAGATACACTAAAAACGGAGAAGAAGACTTGAACTATGCGCATAAACCTTGCGCGCGGTATACAAACGAACATGGAACAATACATTTATTAATCTGTGTTAATGTTAGTTAATAAAAAGACAATCGTTCAGTGTTTGTTCATGTTTTTGTTGCTGTTACGTGACGTAGCGGTGTCTGACTAGGGGCGAGACCTGGGCTGATGACGTCATCGTTTCAGAAAATATATGGATTCACTGTCCACATGAAAACGCAAGGGCGGCGTTTTCAGATTTATCCACTCTGGGACCCGGTTTCAAAAAATATCGGTTTCACTCTCCCAAAACGCCGGATCCGTAGGGATGAAACGCCTACGATACAAAATGTATGCGTATACAGCTAAACGCGTCTCCGTGTGGACGGGGCCTTAGTCAGGGGGCAAATTACACAGCAGCTCTAGAAATTGCGATTCATTCGATTCTTAGCATTTTAAATCGATTACTGTCCGAAATCGACGATTCACGATTCAAAAATCCATGTTTCAAGATCGATGCATATGTATTGTCGGGGTTTGTAATCGATGCATCGAGAAAACGAGTGAATCGTTACACCCCTAGTAGTTAGATTTTTATTTCTACCTTTTGATATACTGTAGTAACATGTTACTATAATTTCTTTGTCTTGCAAATGTAAGAGAGTTTGTTATTATAAACTCATTAAAGTTACTACTCTTAAATTTGACAAATACATGACAATGCTTTTTTTTTTTTTATGCATATTTTTTGTGGACATTAAAAGTGAAAATGCTACTATATTTTTACTATATATATTTAGTCACTTTAAGCCATAGTGTAATGCTTTATGGATTACGGTTAGAGGTATCTGGGGGGTTCAGAGGGGTTTTGTTCCTCTTCATTCTTCTATTTGTCCTGATGGCACATCCCCATGCAGCCCTTGATGTATTCTAACATGCATTCTTGTGTATTGTAGGAAGCGGAGCTACAGCTGTGGTCCAGGCTGCCTACTGTGTGCCCAGGAAGGAGAAGGTCGCCATCAAACGCATCAATCTGGAAAAATGCCAGACCAGCATGGATGAGCTCCTGGTATTGAACCTGTTTCCACATATTTAAACAGCATTGCATTGAACCTACTGGATATTAGCATGAGTATGAAAGTCAAATGGGTATCAAATTATGCATAATTACATTCAAGTAACCCTAAACCAAACCCTAATCCTAAACCTAACCATATAGTAAGTACATGTAGTTAGTTAATATGTCTCAGTACTTAAATGTATAATTACACTGTAACAAAGACACCTTAAAATAAAGCGTAACCATGCGATCTATCGTTTAAGTCAAGTAGCATATGGATGTCATGTCATAAAATGTTTATTGTGACTGAATTTGTATTTGACATAACAACTTAAAGGCAGAGTAAGTGATTTTTCAAAAACACTTTAGAAAACTGATTCGGGCCGAATCGCAAAACAAACTTGTAGCCAATCAGCAATAAGGGGCGTGTCTACTCGTGATGTGGAGGAGAGCGCGTTCAGTGCATGGGACGGACATTAGCCGAGCCGAGTGACAGAAAGATAGAGATGGCGGATAAAAAAACAAAAGAGGAAAACGTCTGCGGAAAGATAAGGCAAGAAGTAGGACCCGTGAAAATATCGGATCAGCTTTCCAGCGCTGGAGAGAACTCAAGGAGCGAGGCCTGCGATCGGACGCCGAGGTTGCTTTGTTTCTTTATTCAAACAGCAGCTACAGAAAACGAGCAAAGAATATTTACATTACCAAAGAATATCATCACTGACTCCCGTTATAATCAGGGCCGACAAGCCGTCTACACTGTTTGATGAATAAATCCTTATACTTATATCGCACGTACATCTGCACTTTGTAGTTTATGATGAGAGAATTCGCGAGAGAGCAGAATTCAGTCAGTGTGCGCTGAACAACAGAACTCTGGTGTTTCAGCGATGACTAATCTGAACGCCTCTGATTGGCCATTGCATTCATCAACTCAATGGTATCATGTGTGATTGATTATAATGCGCAACACTGTAAAAACACGTAAAAAGAAATATGATGGAACAAATAAGCCCTGATATTAATTAGATAATAATACTAGCCTGATAATAATAATAATTATAATAGTAATAATCGTCTTGATATCGTCAAAGTCATTAGCCACAGGCTATATCTCTGACTATCATCGATACACAATACTATCGTCTATCATCACAACCCTAATTGGTATGGATGGATACAAACAGTACTTCCATATGGAAAACCGTATTTCCATATGGAAATTCCACATGTTCTGCTTAAATATATGAAACCTGTTTGACATGATCCCAGCTGTGCAACATTTAAAGGCTGCATATGAGAAATACCACTAAGTTATGGCTCATAAATGCAAACACCTTTTATGAGCTGACAGTGAATAATGACCGTACAGGACTGATTGTAATACATGGACACAAACTTACTGTAATGTGGGGTTTGTGTTTTGTTTGTGTTTCATGTTTATTGCTCTTATGTCTTCTGTTTTGAAGTTTGGCCACAGTCATGTTCTGTCATGTGATTCCCTTGTTCTGATTGGTTATTTGGGTCATGTGTCTTGTCTCTCATTGGTTGGTTCTTGTCATGTGACCTGCATTGTTTGATATAAATAGCCCTGATGTTGCCCATGTCCTTTATCGAGTATTGAACTGTGTAACCTGCTGTTGGTGCGTTTGTGTCTCTGTTCAAGTCAAGTCTGTTCAAGTCTGTTCATGCCAAGTATAAATATATATATATATATATATATATATATATATACTTTTTTCTTTTAAATGAGCATTTTTATCAGGTTCCTATGAAAATAACACTGGACATTTTTTTAAATAAGGCATTGAATAACTAACTAATAACCTTTTCTTTGCCATTAAAGTGAAATTACTGAACCTAAACATAGGAGTCTGATAAAAATGCTCATTTAAAAGAAGCATCTCAGACAGACTTGGAGAGTTTTGCATCTGAAGTCTGCATATATATTAGCACAAATATACATTTTTATCTTAAAATGAGAAAAAAAAGTAAATTTGTAAGTATACTACCATTTGAGGTTGGTACAATTTTTTTTTAACCAAGGCTACATTTAAACTACAGATCAAACTACAGTAAAAAAGTTACATTGTGAAATATTATTAGAATTTAAAATAACTGTTTTCCATTTGTCTCCTTGCTGAATAAAAGGATCAATTCCTTTTGACACACGGATTGTACCATTTCCAGATTGCCTGGAAACCATTATTAACTGGACCAAAGGGATTCCCTGTGTTGTTTTCCAGTTTTATGGCAGAGTTTTTATTTCCTAGTCAGAATTCCCCCTTGGACTTCTTTGTGAATCACAACACTGACTAATAGAAGACTTCATCCCAGTCATTAAAGAACGTTTTTGCCTCTCTTCCAAGTGTAAAACACCAATTTCTGTTTGAAAGTTTCCCAGTTTGCCTTTTTGTTACATTCTTGTCAAGTTACAGCCAAGTTATAGTTTCCATTCATGAGTCCTTAGGTTTCTCCACAAATCCTTTCCCCTTCTCAGCTTATTAACTTCATCTGTCAACTCCTCAAGGAGCTCAAAAGGTCATACTTTTGTTCCTCGTGACCAGGCGGAGCACATTTTGTCGTTCACTGGGAAAGCTCATATTCCTGATTTTACAAGCTCACTGCAGGAGGCTACCAGAAACTCAATTTTTTTCCCACATCCAGGTGTCTTACAAAGTCGTGGCTGATATTATCCCTAGTCCTGCCCTCAGTGATTTCAGTAAATGGAGACTTTCTTCCAGCTGAACTGAAGTAAACCCTTGGAAATTACTTAGGTGAAAGTTAAAGGGAGATTCTTGTAGAGTTAGGGTCACATGGAAAATGTGTAGTTCAGGTTTCCTCCGATGTTTCGCTGCCTTTATGACCTGCTGAGCGCTCTCTTAAACACAGAGGAGGCATTAAATTAAAGCCAGATTGCTCCCGTAATGAGTGGGAGTAGCAGGCAGCTATATTGCATACAATCTGCTTCAAGGGCTGCACTCTGAGGAAATTCCTTCCAGAGGTTTAAGTCAATTTCACTGCTGATCAGGCCAATTTGCTGGAGTATAGCATGCTCTAGTTCTTCCCAACATGCAGGAGCAGCCCAGATAGCTGTGAAGAAAAGAACAGGACAGTTCAAACAAGTCACAACGCAGCAGCCGTGTGACTCTGTTGTGGTGGGAGGAACAATTTTGCACTCTGACTGAGCTGCGATCCTGTCAGTGCCACTGACGTCAAGCTGAATCTATAGTGACCCCACTGTGTACCACTGCAGCGCTTATTCCACGGGGACGTGACAAGAGCTCCTCAAGGCCTTCTCGAATCACATGACTTCAGTGACTGCTAATTCCGTCAGATGACAGTGCTTCATTTCTCCTAGATAGATTAGCTGCCTACATGGCTTCATTCCGTACATCTTCTTTTTGATTAACCGGAATTGTTTAGTCTATACTGTTTTCAGTTGATGAGTGAACAAAACTTTGCTTAGCATTGTTTGTAGCACTCATCCCATCCAATAATTATAATAATGTTACTTTTGATATGAAAAAGAGCTTAATAAAACCACTTGAACATAACGTTACATTTATCCCAGTAAAGCCATTAAATGCCCATAAATGCCAGCTAGTCAGCTCAAAAAAACAAAAAAAAGCATTTTGCTATATAGTACATATTCTTTATATTTTTACTAGTACATATTCATTATATTTTTATATGTGTACTGTATGTTTGAATAAGTAATAAATAACAAGTTTGTATTAAATTTGTTTAATTTATTTACGGTTTATTTCAACAATGAATTGTTGAGAAACACTTATAGTTAAAAAATTGATATGAACAATTTAACTGTTTATATACAACTTTTTATTTAAGTGTTGATTATTAAATAAATTTGATTAGTTATTTGATTATGAAATAAACGTTATTTTCTGTTTCAGTATTGGTTTTTGACAAAATGAAAGAAATTATTTTTGGTGCATCACTTTTTGAAACTGTAATGTGGTCAGAGGTCTTCCTTCGGTTTTCTGCAACTGGACCACTTGTTCAAATATAAAAAAATTGCTGTTGAATAATGATTTTAATATTATTATTATTATTATAAATCACAGTTATCATTATTATTATATTTTTGCAACTGTACATTATATATTGTGTTACTATACTATCAGCAGTACAAGATGTTAAATGATCAAATAATTATAACTGCTATTGTAATACTTGTTAAAATAGCTATAGTTTTTTTTTTTGTCAAAACATGCAGCCATTTTTCAAATTTACTTTGTGTGATTTAAATAAGCTTGTGTTTCTGATACATTTCTGCAGGAGAGCAATTTTCCTTTTACCGATCTCAAAGGAAATGTTCTTAAAATTGATTGTGCTTTTCTGATAGTGAATCAGCTAAATATCCTGCTGACCTGTTTTAATCTGATTTTCAAGCTAATGGAAAAAGAGCTTGTTTTTTTCTGTTGGCATAACTGTATGTGTTTAGGTCATGAGGGATCAGGGCAATGTGAGAATATCAGTGGGCCAAAATGATTGTTGAATCAAAGGTGTCTCTTCTGTATTCTTCTGTAAATCTGAACGCTGAAGAGACCAAATGATGATAGCAGGTCATCATCCTAGATGTTTTTCCCTGTCATTGCCATAGTTTAGATTTGAAGTAATTGTCAGTGGATAGTTTCAATGCAGAATTTGCCTGAATAACCAAATTCACAAAGGTTTACCCCAGGCTTTAACGTAATTTTAATTCAAATGGAAATGTTTACTGGAGAACCTCATATATTGAGTGAGAAATTTGCCCTGAGGAAGAAGGAAAGCGGTTTTTCCACTGGGTTAGGGATGGAACGATTACCGGTTTGACGATAAATCATGATAAAATTCCCCATGGTTAGTATTACCGTTTCATCTTTTAATTATCATTAAAACTAGTGCTGGGCGGTATACCGGTTCATACCGAATACCGGTGTTTATTTTTGTTATGATATAAATTTTTTAAATACCGCAATACCGGTATGTCACTTAAACAACGTTCGGAACGCGACACTGTTTGAAAGGGGTCCCTTTTCACTGTTGCACTGTGGTGAGGGAACGGCTGTATGTGTTACTAAGCGTGAAAGTTCCGAAACTGAAGCTGTAGAACTAATACAGGGGTGGCGAACGTCGGTCCTGGAGAGCTGCAGACCTGCAGAGTTTTGCTTCAACCCTAATCAAACACACCTGAACAAGCTAATCAAGGTCTGAAGGGTTACTAGGAAGCTACAGGCAGGTGAGTTTTAATTAGGGTTAGAGCTGTACTCTGCAGGGTTGTGGCTCTCCAGGACCGGAGTTCGCCACCGCTGAACTAATAGAACGTGATGACACAGAAGAACTCATCCACAATATCCACATTGACCGCCACAAATATCCACTTTAGCACTAGATTTAGCAACTTTCAGACCCTTTTAGCGGCTTTTTTCCGTAGAATATTCATACTGACCAACCTAGCGACTTTTTTTGGATAAACCTTAATTGTGATAAGAAATTTTCATACCGTTACATCCCTACACTGGGTATGGAGGCAGAAAGGCAGTGACATAACCACAGACAAAGAGTCTCAGTACTTTTCTTTGCTCATTGTCCTCTGGACGTACACGAATCGGGTGGCAAACAGTCTCTTGATGTCACCCTCCCTGTTTAGGCTATTGTATTTGTCTCTCGGGTAGACATCGGCCAGCCAAGCTGAGGTAACCCTCGGCTTCTACTGTGAGAACGCAGATGGAGCGCTAGCTAGTGAACGTCCAAAGCCCGCCCCGTGTGTTATTGTTTTCATACGCCCTCAACCTGGTGTCCATCGTGGAACTGGACACAGACATTGTGGAGCCAGCCAAAGCTGACTGAATTATTGAATTAAGTCCAGCTTTGGGACAGAGGGGTGGGGCATACCCAGTGGCCCACTGTTGGGGTGTCAGTGACCCCACGGTTTTGGCACGGGAAGAGCTTTGTGTTGACTGGCATGATTGCGCTTGTACGTTTATTTTTTGGGGTCAGTGGAAAACATGGCTCATGTTCACAGGGTCATTTGAGGACTCGACTTGGAAAGTGCAATTGCCATGAGTTGTTTTTCAGGAACTTGAAATGGCATGTTTTCTTATTGACTTTTTATCTAAATATTGGAGGAGACTGCTGCAACCCGTCCCATTCATTTGAAGCAGAGTGGTGCACTTAATTACAACATGGCTGCATTTTTTTGGTTCATTTCATTACCATACTTGCATGGATACAAAGCAGCATATGCTTGTATTCAAACCTTAGTTAATTTAGAAGGGAAGTGTATGTGTAAATTGTGTGCAGTGTAAATGCAGGCTTTAAAACAGGTTGAGTTGAGGCATGCTGATTTCATACTTGGGTCTCTGCCATTTCTATCATTCCTGTAGTACTGGACTATTGAGTAGTGATTGCAAAAGACTTGGGTTTGGCTTTTCAACATTAGCAACACACTTCGAAGCATTTACACATGACTTAAAGATGCTTAAATATTTGAATTCAAGAAATTATTTTTTAAATAATTTTTTTGTTGTATTTTATTTTAATGAATAAAATTAAATATAATTATTTTATTAAACAAAACACTCTTTTTTTTTTATGTAGCTCAAATGAATAGGTACTTTTATGGTGCTTTTTCATCCTTTTCCAAGCTGTTTTGTTTTGCAGATATAAAATAATAAAACAAAAAATAAAATGAAATAAAGTACTTCTTTAAATAAATTTTAAAAAGCCATTTTTTCATGTAACTGCAATGAAAGGGCCCTTTTATGATCTTTATTGAGGCTATGTTTGTTTTAATTTTATTATATTTTTTATATAAAATAATAAAAATCAAAAATTAGTTTTATTTAAAGAAAAAGCCATGTTTTCCATATAAGGGCATTGAATGGGTACTTTTATTTTGCCTTTGCATCTTTTTTGAAGCTATTGTATTTTGTTTTGTTTTAATATATTAAAAAATCTATGAAAATACATTTCACGAGTCACTCTTTTTCCATGTGACTGCAATGAATGGGCACTTTTATAATGCTCTTGCATACTTTCTAAAGCTATTTTTTTTAAATTTTGTTTATAATTTTTTATTATTATTATTATAACTGCAATAAATGTTATGGTGCTTTTGCATCCCATTTGAAGCTTGAAAGCTCTGGTCCCCATTCATTTTCATTTTAACCAAACAGCACGAAACGGTGTGAAGGTATGAAGTCATGTGTCCATTCATTCAGATTAATCCTGCAGTGTTTTTAGTTTCTATTATTGATTGCTTTGCATTGCATGTAACAAATTGAACAAGCCTGGGCCTGACAGCAAAAATAGAAATGGCAGAATTGCTTTGTAATATCATTAGGAAGCCCCCACCATCAAATGAGTCGGGGAAAGCTCAGAGTGATGGATTCGGCTGCAGTCCCAACATTACCTCAGCTGTCAATCTCTCTGAGCTGCAAGGGTTTCACTTCAACTGCTCCGTCAACTGGAAAGACCAACAAATAAACGGGGTGGAGAGGAAAATTGCTTGTTTTTCCTTCTGTTTTCAAATGCCGAAAAATCTATCTAGCGGTGGTGTTTCTCGGATGGATATTGACTGTAACATATACACCTATTTATTTGGATTCCTTGGTTATTTGGAACAGGCTGTAAGGCAGTCAGGTGAAGGTGTCATAGTGTTTACAGCATGCTTGGATGGATGTTGTTTATTTTTACAGTTTGTACGTGCTTTGCGGTGAATGAGCTAATAAAAACGACTATTTCACCTGAAGTACGTAAATATCTGCATGGATCGTGAAGGTTTGCCAACTGTGCAACTGAGCCAGACTTGTTTAAACATTAATCCAGATCTGGAATGGCACCATTGTGAGGCACCACAGTTATTTCGGTTAGCCATGAGGCCCAGTGCATTCTGGACTACATACTATATGACTGTATACACAGACCATTTGCTGATTCCTGAGTGTAATGCAGTTTTGTATTCCCCTGAAGGAAGCAAATTATTGTTGTCCAATTATTGCACACTCTGAATCATTTAGAAAGGATATTGGTTAAATCGGGTTACTGTCAATGAAGAGTGATTGTCTCTCTTTTTTTCTCTCTCTCTAGAAAGAGATTCAGGCGATGAGTCAGTGTCACCATCCCAACATTGTGTCGTATTACACCTCGTTCGTGGTGAAGGATGAGCTGTGGTTGGTCATGAAGCTGCTCAGTGGTGGTAAGTCCCTACCACCTGTTCTTTTTCATCCAATCCGAACACTTCATTTTCATCTCTGTCATTGGCTTTGTCCAAATGCTGAAAAATGCCGCTCAGTGGTAGGAAGTTGGAACACATTAAGACATTCAAAATGTATGTATTATCCTGTCTTCTGAGAGGACTTCATTTGGTCATTTTTTGAAAGCAACATCTGAAGGACCTTTAAAAAGAAGTAAATGAACTCAAAGATGTTTCAATTAGGAAAGATGCGCTTTTAATAACTTTAACTAAACAGGAAAAATAAAAAAAGAAGTAAAGAATTATATTATAAATAATTTGTTTATGAATAAATGAACCGTTTGTCACTTCAAATAAAGCATAAAATCCTGCCAGACTAAAGAAATCTACTTTGAAAATGAGCAATTTGCCAAAAACATATACTAAAGCTGGCCGCTAGGGCTGTTGCGGTGAAGGAATTTCCCTTGCGGTACTTTTGAGTGGCTCCGCGGAATGGTATGCGGTATTATCGCCATATATATATATAAAATCTGTGTGTGTATGTGTTACGATATAACGAGGTCATATTCAGAAACCGAAACCAAATAGCGTTGAAACAGGAAGTGAAGTAAACAAAAGAGAATGACAAAATAACGATCCACATAACAGAACAGAAACCTGACAATAAGATTGTTAGGCTATTGTTAGCCTATATCTATAACAGTTCGTTCTGATCCTCGAATCCGACTGGACAAGAGACTTTCTATTGATATTTCCACCTGTGCAGTCTAGACGGGCTATCAGTCAGTGCAGTTACATTGTTGCGCCACAAGGTGGTGGAAAGGGACTGTCTTTGAGTGAGTCTTTAAACTGTTCATTCAACTACACGTTCAAAAACGCTGCTTCATTCAAAGAGAGACAAAATGAAAAACGCTGTTGAAATCATTTTTACTTTGAGCGCCACGTTAGAAGGCTCAGCTGACCAATGCGTCGGTGCTAAGACAGGGATTTGGCTTTCCTTGGACATAACTACCTATTTTCACAAATATATATGACTCGCAAGTAATCGCACATGCTCAGTTGATCTCTCTCTCACTCATTCGTTGTCTGTTTAGGCTTAAGTGCAAATCTACGGAGCCTCAGTACAAATCAGCATGGTACACATTATGTTATCATTACTAACTTATTTAATATTCAGTACACATGCACAAAGTGTAAAACGAGAAGGGCATAACCTTATGAAAACACGCAAAAATCGCGGTTGCTGCGGTTCTTGATTCCTCTGCGGGTTGCTCGTCAATAGCGCGATATTGCGGTTATCGCGACAGCCCTACTGGCCGCACACTAGACTATTTTCAAATCTTAACCTATTTTAAAACCATGGGAGACCACAGCCATGAAGACCGTTTCAACTGATTTTAGGCCTTATAATCCTCTGAACGCGCACACTAGACGATTCGACCAGACCGCAAGTCCACACACTTGCCGATTGTAGGACCGATTTCACAGTGACATGAGATCTCACGGAGACTCGCGAGATCAAACGTGACTAGAGCAGAAAAACAAATGGAAGACAATCGACGTTGTCAGCTGGCTCTCTCGGCGCGTGTTCTGTTTCACAGTGAAAAACAAAGTATAAAAAGAATATGGGTGATGTATTCTGCTTTCGTGGCATTTTTGTGGCTGCCAAGTTTAAGCTATAGAAGAATGCAACTTCCGAGCAGTTAAATAATCATAATGACTAGAGGTCGACCGATAGTGGATTTTACCGATACCGATAGCTAGGTTGGACCACACTGGCCGATACCGATTAATCAACCGATAGTTTTTAAAATGGTAAACGAAAACTAAAACAGAGCTTTACTATTTTTCTGTTCCGCGGCAGGATTTTCTTTTGAGTTTGAAGATTCCCGCTCTGTGCAGCGCAGTGTCACGTGTCAAAACAAACAACACGTGCTGTTAGTGATTTCCGCCTCTAGAGGCCGCTCTCGTACTGTATAATGGCAGCGGACCCTTCTCGGCCACTCCAGCAACGGACGCAACCCGGAAAACTATCGGCATTGATTTTTGCCGATAACTGATAGTTCCGCCAATCAACTATCGGTGCCGATTAATCAGCAAAACTGATGAATCGGTCGACCTCTAATAATGACACCACACAATAGAGGATTTTTTGGACAAAAAAAATGCTTTCGACAAGCCCTGATCATTCGGGGGTGCAAACCGGGCTTAAATCGGCTGTGTGTGCACCGATGGCCTCGTGGGCAGCGCGTCGACATGTAGTGCCGTTGTGCTTTGGACGTGCCGAGTTCGAGTTCCGGCTCGCGGACCTTTCCCGATCCCATCCCCCCTCTCTCTCACCAACTTCGCTTCCTGTCGACCTACTGTCTAAATAAAGGCATAAAACGCCAAAAATACATTTAAAAAAAGAAGAAAAAAAAAACGGCCTTTATCCTCTAGTGTGTGGCAAGCTTACGTTTGGGGTCAGTGAGATTTTTTTTAAATATTGTTTTTTAATAAGAAGTCTTTTACGCTGACCAAGACTGCATTTGTTTCAACAAAATGACAGTAAAAGCAGTGATATCTTGAAATGTAAATTTATTATTTTAAATAACAGTTTTCTGTTTAGATATCTTCTAAAATGTAATTTGTTCCTGTGATGGCAAAGCTTAATGTTCACTCACATGATCTTTCAGAAATCATTAGAATATGCCTATTTAGTGCTCCGATAACTTTTCAGACGATAACAATTTCTTATTTTCATCAATGTTGTGCTGAATATTTTTAGGATTCTTTGATGAATAGAAAGTTCAAAAGTAAGAAGTTAAAATAGAAATCTTTTTTAATATTATCAATGTCTTTACTGTTATTTTTAATTAATTTAATGCATCCTTGCTGAATAAAAGTAATTTCTTTAAAATAAAAAAAATACCTTGCGCACCCCAAACTTTTGAATGGTATGTGAACAATACATCATAACTTGGAGTGAATTAAAAAAATCATAAAGTTGTAGTTTTGCTTTATTTGAATAAAATGAAGTAATTTTCTGAGATTTGCTATTTTAGTACTTTTATAATTTTATTTACTTTTACTATTTATTTGTTTGTAACATGGGAAGTAAAATCTGTTGTGGACATGCATGTGTTCAAATGTAAGATATATTTACATGGTTGTTGCTGAATTCACAGCGGTCTTCTTTTTTTGCTGGACTTTTATTTTTGTGATGTCATTTATTTTAGAAAATGTTAAATATATATTTCTCCTAATTTTTCCCCATAGAAATGAATTTGTAATTAACTATGGTGACCCAAGTTTGTTTCACTCACGATGAGCATTCTTTGCTTACTGTATCCATATACAGTGTGGAACAGTCCTTCATCTATCAAACACGGTTTGACTCTCTGAATTAAGGTTTGCCTAAATATATGGATGGTTTTTGTTGGTAATAGAAATACATTTTGTATTTCAGTTTTGAGTACCAGCCTCTGATTAGGATTTCAAATCATGAGAATGATAATGGAGTCTGCCAGGGGCTCCCCTACGGAGTTAATCACAGACCGCTGTTAATTACAGCAGATGCATTAGTTCTGCGGCAGCCTATGCAGGATTTCTTAGGACAGTATTGCATTATGATTGGCTGCTTCCAGGATAGATATCTTCTGATGATCATGTAGTGCTGCATGATTAATCAAAATTAAATCGAAATATGGCTATATGGCTTTATGCAATTATCAGTCATAATGAAATGAATATATGCACTTAAAGTTATTTTAATGCTAAAAGTAAGTTCAGTAAGGAAAACAGCCATAAATATTAATTTTGCAATTTAAAGGGGTCATATGATGTTGCTAAAAAGAATATTATTTTGTGTATTTGGTGTAATGAAATGTGTTTATGCGGTTTAAAGTTCAAAAACACATTATTTTCCACATACTGTACATTATTGTTTCTCCTCTATACCCCGCCTTTCTGAAACGCGTCGATTTTTACAAAGCTCATCGGTCTGAAAAGCGAGGTGTGCTTCAGCATAAACATAAAACATGTGTTTGGAGAAATAACAAACAAGCGCTACTCTACACTGCTCAAAACTCGCGTTTAAATCATCAGTGGCAAATCCTTTAAATAAAAAAATACTTATAGTCTGTTGTGAGTCAGAACAGCCGGC